TCCTCCGGCCAGCATTGGTCACCATTACCAGGTCGTCGGCATCTCACTTCTCCTCCTCCACCGGGAAACTAGACGCCACGGCCGATGGAGGTGAGGTCGCCAGACATTTTTCACTGCGTACAGATATGCCTTCGCCAGTTTCCATGCTACATAATACGGTCAGAGTTTTTATAGATGGTGTCCCCATGTCCGCGTTAGTCGACACTAGAGCAACTGTTTCCGTCATGAGCAGAAATTTTAAGAATCGTCTTGGCAAGAAAGTGATGTTCTCTTGGGGAAGTCAGACAACGTTTCATGCAGTGAGTGGAGAACCGTTGCGCCCAGTGGGAGTTCGTACTGCAACTGTCAGTTTCGGCGCTAAAGTGTTTAAGGAAGATTGTTTAAAGGAAGATTGTTAAAGTGTTTAAGGAAGATTTAAGGAAGAGTGTTTAAGGAACCCTTCGCTGCAAAGTACGAATCCTCAACCTCACTATTTAAGGAAAAAAAATAAATCTAGTTTTTGGTTCATTCATTAAGTATTACAGCTTGGTGGCGCTAGCCACCGCCCGATCTAAAGGGTACAGCCATATCCATTCATCTATCCAGCCAGCCACATCGCGCGATGGCGCGCGCTCTGATCTCTCACGCGTACTTAGCCCCGCTTAGAGGAGGAGAGCAACGGTTCCTCGCGAGCCCTTATCTCGCGGTGGGGAGGAGTGGAGGACCGTATGTCTTGGCTGGCCTCGGACGTTATCTGGAACGATTCAGTTGTAGTTACCAGTCGCAAAAAGATGACTGCAATCATTGCAGTCTCCGCTTGCATAAAGCGCGCGCTTTTCAGACACAGAGAAATAACATCTGAGATGCTTATTCGCGTGCATCTGTAGCTGTCAGTACGTTGCGTGCGTTATTTGTGCGTGAGAAAAGTGGGGCATGCTTAGATGTGCTATCCATTCTTCGCGTGACCTTCCGATTCGTTGCTATCACGTTCGATCGTTACTTTGCCTTTGTGGCAACACTCTGACTTCAAAAAAATTATGATCAATCATAATTTCTGATACCACAAATAACAGTCGTTGGTGTTGTTACATGCACCTTGCTTAGTAGTCAGTGACAGCAACACAGGTTCTAAAAAAACCTTTGCTACTATGAAAAATGTGCGTTGAAATCAACGTTTTCGTATGTCATAGATGTACAAAAATAGGCACATGACCTGGCATGGAGCGGAAACACGGAGGGATAAAATCCGTTTCACGTTCAGTCAGCATCCTCTCTACGCGCTCACTTTCGATATGCCACACGGAACCCACGATGAGCATCACGTCACCACTCTCACCTGTTTTCGCACAAGCGACAATAACACCTCGCAGCCAGAGCCTGTGCGCGTTCGCCCGCATGCGAACATGATTCATAACTGGACACCGCAAACGGCCAGGAGGCAGTTGCCAGTGAACTGCCTTGCCGTGTGCGTATGTGCGGGGTGTGTGGTCCGCTGAGGCCAGGAATTATCTCACCAGCTAGGAAGTGTTCTTGGAAGTTTGCGTGTAGATAGTTGCGTTGTTCTACTGATCATTTTAAAGCTTCAGTAATAAGTTGTTTTTTGAGTTAACCCGAAGTCGACGCGTGGCCCGGTTCATTGGAGTGGACGAAGAACCCCACACTCTTCAGCATCTGCTTTCACACGTAAAGAACTCATCGTATGATGCACTGGCATTTACTGAATGAGATTCTCATTCCGAAGTCAGTCAGTCAGCATGTCAAAGAACTTCATTTGGTCCTGTAAAGATGAGAATGCCCTCGTCAGGGGGTACCATCTGGGGGCCCCTCTCTCGATGGCTGCGTCCAGAAAAAGGGCTGTCCAGAAGGGCTGTCCAGAAAAGGCGTCCAGAAAAAGCGTTTTCACGAAATAAAAAAAATGTAGATTGCCGCTTGATAACGGCGAGGAAGAGAGTCATGATTGTGGGCGTAGTTGAAGTGATCGGTAGAGGCGCTTTTTCATTCGTCGGTCTCAGTGACACCTGCTAATTTAGCCATATTTCATCGCCCAGCGGTGATTATACCAGCGGTCACCTTTTAAAAATTACAAAGTGGCTAAGGACTACATGTTCGCTGCTAGGAATGGAATTCGCCCATATGAGACTCGACCGCTTATTTTCTATAGTTGTAAAGATATTCAGGGTTTTTTATATATTCTTGGCTGTGTGTGCTGTTTGTACGCATTTGAAGATGCCATCTGCCACATTAAACTAAACGCCGAAGTGCCTCTTTATGTTATTTTTCAATAGTAGTTAAGGAAATTTTTTTACACTCTGTGTACTTGCTTCGATGACAACAGGCGTCACGTTGAGTTAACGTGAATTGTGTTCAAATACCATCCACAGACTTTGATTTATGTAGTAATGTCCAGGGCTACCATTCTGGCGAGCAGTAGTGCTACATAACAGCTTACCGCCTCTGGTATTGTTAATAATGGTGTTGCTCTCGGCATTGTTACGGAGCTGAAAACAGCTTGTTATATAAAACATATGCAACTGTTCAGCATATGCCTGTGCATAGAAAATTTGTTAATGACCTCGACGCAGCTTCGTAACACTTCGCTGAGTGAAAAATCACGAACAGTCACTTTTGCTTTCGATGCTTCTCATAACAATGATTTGAACATTGGACCTGCGACTTTTTATTTTTGAACTGAAAGAAACAATAGTGTATGCGTATTGGCCTGTGTGTTTTTGCCTTTTATAATTGTCTTTCTTCTATAAACGAGGATAGTTATGACTCTCAGGACGGCCCAGTGCACTCAACTGCTCTATATCTAGCTTTCAAGTTGTTTCATTCGAATTATTTTCCGCGTGCGTTCATTATTGTGTGGGCTCCAATGGACCTCCTTGTTTAGTAGCTGCCGAGAGCGGCAAACCTCCAATTGCTGCAGTGCGCAGGGCCATGAGGAAGGAGGTAACCTTGCTTTCCTGTACTCTGATGTTTAGAATGCGAAAAATGAAACACGACGCAATATGCCCAGAAGTTGTGCGGTGTGTGCCCCCGAAGATCGAATGAATAGTAAGTTTGAGTTGAGGTGACATAGCAAGCACTATTATCTACGCATTTTTTGTGGAAAGCCAATGTATTCGCCAGGTATATTAGTTTGCGGATGAAAACGTTTTCCTGGGATGTTTCACAAGCGTACATACGTTATTTTACAGCGTTGGCTCCTGATATGTTTCATTGTTGGACGAAGTAGGTATTGTACAACAAAGGTGGCCAAAAGTGAACACGAGAAATGAAACTGCATAAAATGCCTCCAGCGTTTGTAAGCGCATTAGAATGGTTCGTTCCCATCTTTCTAGCCTCATAAGCCTTGTCTGAGATTTACAACACTCTAAATGCCATTTTCTGCCTAAGTTATTGCTTCGAATTTCGAAATAATTTCAACTCTTTTCTTATTACGCAAGCCATGAAAAACCTAAAACTTCTCTTACATAGTGTAAAAGGTAGCCACATGCCTTTCGTGTCATCGTGTTACAGTGCTTGGGGAAATCCTGGCTGCGGTTAGCTATATTCTCCTCTATATGAGTCACGGGTTGGTCAGCCCCAAAAAAGGAATATTAAGTGGAGAGCAAATATGTGCACCTCGCAACCCGAGCCATTAACTGAGCTCTAGGAGTTCGTCTGAAAGAAAACATTATTGTTCGAAGATTTGAGCCGTCAGCGTTTTCTGGTGGTACTGCTACAGAATTTGAAACACAATCCATAAGATAGCCATAAACAAAAAGGCCGAGTGTCAACCAATGTGTGCATCAAGTGTTGGCAATACCTGTCCTTCATGTTCTATTGTTCGCATCCTGTTATTTTTCTCGCGGGAGTGAATCACGTCTGCCGCGGCTACATTTTCGATGGAGATTAGAATGCTCTAGGCACGTGTCCTCAGATTTGGGTGCACATTCAAGAACCCTAGATGGTAGAAATTTTCCGAGCTCTCCGCTGCGGCGTCTCTTATAATCATATGGAAGTTTCGGAACGGTAAACCCCACATATCATCAACCTGGGATTTCTTGGAGCGTATAAGTGGTAATGACCACTTCTAGATTTGTAACAGTAGCTAACTTCAACTAAATTGGAAATGAATACTGGAAGAGCCGTTCCATACTATCAATAAAAGTGACAAAGTATTTGTTAAATCTACTTTGCAACATTTATCAGGTAATGCCGCCGGAAATTTATTATTTCCACAAAATGTAAACTGTAGTGCCAAAAGTCTGGCTCTTGATGCGGCGGTTGCGTTCCTACGTGCTGCAAGCTTGAAGACCTTAAATGAGGGCATTAAAAATAACTTGGGTAAGAGTAATGCTGCATTAATAATGAATGAATGAATGAATGAATGAATCGACAGATTTTATTGCTGGAGAGATACAGAAAAACAGTTATCATTGTATAACTAGCCCAATTGCACAATCTACTTTTGCTTTTATAATGAAAGCAGCCACTAGAGGAACCCAAGACGCTACATCCTTAGCGTAGTGGTGGTGCATCTGGGAAAGTGATGCCCATACTGCAAACTCACCCAGCTCTCTCTACTAAAAGAGTGCGGTACTCGCTTCTGGTTCTGCATATCAGTACGAATCCTTCGGCATGAAAATGAAGGAAAGTTTCCTTATACGCTATGCTTTCAGCAAGACCTCTATAGTTGCATGTGGCATTAAATCACAATAGCTTCCCTTTGTGCATCTCTTCTGGCTCCAATTTATTATAATGTTGGACTGGTTTGCTATATGATGATCACAGATAATATGCTATACAAATTCCTTCAAAATAAATTCAGTGAAAACATTGATAGGAGCACTCGTGCTCCGCGGGCACTTTCTAGAACTTACGTAGGAGAAGCAAATGTGTAGGCTGTCTGGGGAGCTTGACTATCCAGCCAAAACCTACGTGCCATGCGCATATTTCAGTTTTAGTGAACGCATAGCCATCTAAGAAGTTTTTTTACGACATGAGATGTACACTAAAATAGCTTTTATTTCTCAAATTTCGGGCAACTTTCTGGGTACTGGGTGTAGACTGGATCTTTGCAAACTGCGTAAAAATAACTCAATGTAGTTTGGTCCACACTATCTACATGATCGTACTTCGCCCAAATAGAACACAGCGGTCGTTCTGTAAAAAAAGTAAATCAATGTTTATGTACCATGCAATGTGGAATACGTAAAAAATTACCACGTACACGCGCGCCCATCTTCTTTAACCTGAACGCGTGAGCATCGACCGCTGAGCTGATCAGCGCCACAGGGCGGAGGGCGGCGTTCAAATGCATGAGAATATGCGCATGCGCGCTTTGAGCAGTTCTTGGCAGCTGTCGTCTGCGAGGCTTTTCCGGGAACTGGAAACCACGTCCGCTTCTTATGAGCACCGCTGTGGTTAATCTTTTTTTAAAGACGATAGTTTTTGGGGGGACTTTCGACGGAAAAATTTTAATCTTTTTGTCTGTCGGTCTGCCTGTCTCTCTGTGCATTTGTCTGTTGGTCCACTCTTACCGGCATCGAGGACTTGAAGCGGCCGACCCATCCGCAGTGACCACTAATGTTGCTCAAGGTTGAGCGTTCAAGCTTGTGCAATTGTCAATTAAAAAGCAATTATTGCGCATGTTTGGGGCACCATAACAACACGCATATATTCTGCATATGCATTTCTTACCTGAAAACGCATACATAAGTAATTTTAAGGACCGTAGCGCTTATCGCACTGCGCTTACCATGCAACGGCTGCACGTAACGGGGAGTGTTTAGAACGCTTTGCTAAGACGAGATGGTCATGGCACCTAACCGTCGCCTCGCGTTCTACACCTTGTCGCCTCTGAGACGGGCGGGTACGGCCACGCGCTTTATTTTCCAAAAGAAACTGCCAGATGGTGCTCAAGTCTCACGTGTGACATGACTTGACGCGCTCCTTCACCTCCGCTGCACGCTCGAGGCCCTCTAACACAGCGCCTCCGGAATATCACTCACCGATATTCTTCGCAGAACATCAAATAAATGTTTTGTTCACTCTCTCCACACGCAAGACTATCGTCTTTTGATGACATTGGCAGAATACATGCAGATACGGGGCCGATTTGTTTTTTTTGTGCTTCACGCAGCGCTTTTCTGAGGCATAAAGATATGCAAGCCGAGCTTATTATAAAAACGACTGTCTTCTAAAGAGCGACGTTCCCTTCTTCTGTATGCTGCAAGACGTGAGCTCATAAGCGAAGTATTCTGATCAGACAACGTTGGTATATCGCAATTCACGGTTATAACACCCTTCACCTGTCTTCTAGAGAATGTGGTTTGCGTACTAATAATGATGTCAGCTCGAGTCTCTCATAAAAGGCGAGTAGCGGCAATACGGATGTCGTTCAGTGGAACAACCTATAGAAATATCCCGAGGGTTTGTGGCTTGCATCTAGCTACTATAAGTAAAATAATTTGTGCGTTTAGAGATGAAGGGCGCATATTTGATGCGACAAGAGACTGCATGAGGAAGACTACAGCAAAGGATGATGCTGTCTAGGTCCAAGTAGCCAAGGCTAATTCATTCATGACTACTGGACAGATTAGAGGTGTGGTTGGCCTGGATGTCAGCGAAGAGTTGGTCAGAAAACGGGCCTTAGAAGGTAGTCTTCAAACTCGATGTGCTGCCCCAAGGCCGCTTCTTTCAGACGCAACACGCACAAAAAGACTGCCTTTTGCCCAGGCTCATCTTCACTGGACGGTAGATGAATAGAGAAATGTCATTTTCACTGACGAGCCTACAACCTGCACGCAGTTGGATTAGCACCGCAGAGTATAGAGACGTGGCCTGACGAGGTTCGTTTCTTCCTATCGTATATATAAGTGGTAAGTTTCTGGTCGTTTCCGCTTTCACAGAATTGTTACTGGAAATCTTTTTCGTTATTGCTATTTTCACAGTAAGTTCGCAATAGAAATTATCGCACTCTAAATTTTAATGATTGTTACCAACGTTTGTCACCAACGTTGTACCAACCCAATACGTTCAGAGAGAGCAAGAGCCAGTGGACGTAGAAGTGTCACCGTTTTGAGAGCAGAAACGAAATAAGACCTTGGGCCACTACACCAAAAAGAGGGCCGATTTGGTGCGGATTCCTGCTTAAGCATCATATAACACGAGCTCCTGCTTCATGTATTTGATGGTCCTTTCGCTGGTGGCTGTTCGATATTGCGTCCCCCGTGCAAACGTCTCGGGCTGCCCAAAACCTCCTAGAAGAACTCTGCGTCATAGTTGCTGACTCGCCACACTGGGATTGGATATGAATAATAAATTTTAGCGAACTTCGGCGACATTGAGCGTATCTATCTATCTATCTATCTATCTATCTATCTATCTATCTATCTATCTATCTATCTATCTATCTATCTATCTAGCCACTTATATTTGTGTGCTCTCGTGATCACCCCACTAAGTTGGCGTAAACCAGAATTAGCATGGGAGGGTAAGATGGTTTGACGCATAATATGACGTGCTGGTCAAGACATGAATAATGTCACAATGCCGTCACGTACGTCGTCAAACACTTCCCGCAAGGCAGTGGCACATACCCACGGATGGGTACTGTATCTCGCACTTTGATACACACTGTACCTCGCATTGTAATATTGAACAGCATTTCCACGACAAAGACGCACTGTGCACGGCTTACACTCCTTCACGAAAATTTTACAACCACTCTGTTCGAAAATACCGACGAACTATATACATTTGCAGGCAATTGCACACAGACCGTTCAAGTTGCCACGCCACCTATTTAGGCTGGCGACTTCATTTGTAGCTCCATGGTGATGAATGCTCTTACATATCCATAATAGTGCGTTATAACTTTATTAGTTCCCTGTCTTTTATCTTGACAGCAAAATTTGTCACAATGCATTTTATATCCTTAATGCAACATGCGACCACCGCAGCTGCCACCTACGACATTGGCGTTAGCAGCGAAGTGCTGCAATTACCATTCCACTGAGACAAGCGATGCAGTCTATATGGTTGTTGGGCACACTTAAAAACAAAAAACACAACATGCACAACCCGCAATACAACTTTTCACTGCAGTTTAACCAAAGAACAGCCGAACAGCTCATGCGAGAACAGTCATTTAACTGGCCGAATTTTAACACTTGGGGAATTTGGGGCGGAAACACAACACATTTTACATCTCGACTTGTGAACATTGTTACAATGTCTTGTGTTTACGTTGATAATGAGTATAAGAGGCGCTTACTCTCTATGCTCTCTATCAGTTCAGTCAACAGCATTTCATTCCAAGTCTGATGAAATATCAGATACTGTTTCTTTGCACCAGTCTTCCTTCTCAGCTTACCTGCGCAATGTTATACAAGATATCCACAGACTCATTACCACTTGTATCAACGGGTGTCATGTGTGATCGACAGGCAAACACGGCAAAAAAGTATTACACCTATCACTGGAAGCACAATTCTTGTAAACACTGGCCGTGATTGGTCGAGCATTTTATCCGGTAGCACGCGTACAGAGATATCTATTGCCTAATTGTGGCAATGACATATGTGCATTATTTTTCTCAGCACAGTTGATATAATAAAAAATATCATTGATTTACTTCGCTCAGATGCAGTGCACAGAGAAATAGGAAAGTTTCCAAGACACAGCCGTGCAGCAGATCTCCCGCATTGTCAGAATCCAAGCCACGTGAATGCAGTAATTAAGAAGATGTGTATGATGCACTGTATCATTTTGAGTAAAGATGACGAAGCGTATCATCTGTTTATCATTAATAAAAATTGGCACTTCTTAAAAAAAACTTGTCATACAGGTCTACAACCTGCTATAACTGAGGGCCACCTTATGGACTGACGTCACATTTGCTCGCACGGTAAAATGAAAATGTAGGTTTTATTTTAACTTTTCATATGAAAAACTTGCAACTTAGGTGCGAAAGCTCAGAAACAGCAGAGGTCGATGATTCCGAAGAACAATCTATTATTTTATAAGTCGTTTTAGGCAATGAAAATTCCAGATTGCTTCTAGAATGCTGCAATGTTTTAGCTAGGTCACGCTAGGTTGTTTTACAGCGAAATCTGCATATACTGCTAGGAGAAACAAAAAAGAACTGCCCGGCAGCGGTGTCCCGAGCGGTATTTATGGGCAGCCCTATCATTTATGGTATTATTGGAGTCGTACCAAGCACGCGCGCCATTGGCTGCGTCGAGTAACGTGGTCCGTCTCGTCCCAGCCGTGGCACCGAGCACGCGCGGATAAATTTCTCCTGATATCTTTCACATGAGTATGCCACAGACAACTCTAGGAGAGCTCATAAGTGAAAACGTGAGAGAGCTGACATTCACAGGTTTGTTGGAACAGTCCTGGCGAAAAAAAATCGCAACATATCTCCGAAGTGAATGATGATAAGTGGGGCGAAGCTTCAGAGGGTGTTATCAGTAAACTTTCAATAGTGCGTCCGTGCGTCTGTCTGTCTGTGTGACTGTCTGTCTGTCTGTATGTCTGTCTGTCTGTCTGTCTCTGTCTGTCTGTCTGTCTGTGTGACTGTCTGTCCGTCTGTCTCTGTCTGTCCGTCTGTTTATCTGCCTGTCTGTCTTTCTGTTTGTCTGTCTGTCTGTCTGTTTGTCTGTCTGTCTGTCTGTCTGTTTGTCTGTCTGCCGGTCTGTCTGTCTGTCTGTCTGTCTGCCTCTGTCTGTCTGTCTGTCTGTCTGTCTGCCAGCCGGTCTGTCTGCCAGCCGGTGTGTTTGTCTGTCTCTCTGTCTGTCTGTGTGTCTGTCTGTCTGTCTGTCTGTCTGTCGGTCTGTCTGTCTGTCTGTCTGTCTGTCTGTCTGTCTGTCCGCATCTGCTGAGTGAAGCATCGAGCTAGGCAGTCACGTAAGAGCTCGGAGGGACAGACCCGTGGCTTTAGGAGCTTCGCCCATAAAACAGTTCTGGCCGCATCTATGTACTGACGATCCGGCAGCCTTCCGAGACGCGCTTATTCGCGAACGGGAATGCAAGCTTGAGTGGCGGGAGGATCCTGCGAGCGACGGCGGCGAGTTTACCCGTGATGTCAGACAATTGAAACAACGCAATACAATATTATGAATGCGTTGTTCTTGAAAAAGAGAAAGATGCACCTTTTTTCTGCCTATAGGCGACACACGTCAGTCTATATGCCCTATTAGTGACGTTGCGGCGTCAACGTGATGATTGCGAGAGCGCCTTCGCTGGGCCGAGCGCCCACTTTTGGCGGGAGCTGTGCAGCGACACTTTGGCTTCAGATGCCACGTCTGTGACCACCTAAGATTCGGTAAGATAAACTGCGATTACCGCATCGCGATGCTGTCTCAGAAGTACGCTGCTATTTCCAAACGCCGTTTCACCTCACCTGTAAATAAACACAATCACGTACCCCTAACAGTTTGGTGGAAGGTGCAGTGTACATTAGTCTGGACGAGTCAGCTCTACGACTTTTTCGACGGAGCAGACACTTGGCAGGCTTGCCACCGCAGCTACCAGACATAGAGGACGCGGGAGCAGGCCGTAACAACCTCACCGCTGCTCAGCAACACTCACCCGCCAGGGCAAGCTGGCTGTGGCATGCCGGAACGTCAACCAAGGACCTTTTCGGGGCAGCCAGATGACGATGTTGAGAATCGGCTCAATCACTACCAAAGAGTGAATCGCAGCAACCGCTGGAGCACTGCTAAGCAGCTCGAGAGCGTGGTGTTTTTTCTCGTTTGGACCGCGTCTCTTCATTTGCACAACCATGAGAGTGCATTGACCACATGAGACATTTTTGTAGACAAGCTGAAGAGGTGCTTAAATGACTCTACTGCTAAGGTGAAGCTGGCGGAGCAAACGCTATCACGCAGAGCTTCGTTACCTGGTGAAACCGGTACCACCTAATTCGAGGCTGTCTTGAATCTTTGCGGTATCATGAGTGCGACAGTGTCCGACGACGATAACGTAGGTCATCTGCTCCAGGGAATCGTGGAAGACGTGTACAATTTTCTTATCACTAAGGAAGACCTACACACCTTTCAACTTAAGGAAACACTGCCGAGTGTTTAAAGCGGTAAAAAGGAGGAGAATGCTACCGAAATTTTGACGTCTTGACAATGTGCCCACGATCGCAAGTGTCAATTTGCCATTGCAGGATGACATCTCTTCTATTTTAAGACGAGTGGTTAAGGAAAAACTTGCTCAACCGTAAGCTGCGCACACCTTCGGTGTCTGCCATCATTGTGCATTCGACCAACGGCCCCGCGAACCACCGGTACCTCGGATGCGTCAGAGCAACCTTGAGCCTCGCCCGAATTACACCGATTGGTTCGAACGAAAGAGTGAATGGCCACTCGAAAACAAGGTAAGCAGGCAAGCTGCATCACGGCGATTTACTTCTCAGACGCAATCACCCGGCGTTTATCAACTAACGAGGTCTAGTTCGCCGGGGACTAGACACGACAACCGTACTTGCTACAACTGCGGACTACCTGAACACGTCGCTAGGTACTGCTACAGTCGCCAGCAGCGAGCTGCACGATTCAACGTGTACACTCCCTGTGTGCCTGCTGGCGAGTTTCGATCATTTCAGATCTCTTTACAACGGCAACACGCTGCACGTGCTGACTCACCTTGCACCGACCGCAGCGTTACCCCACCACCCAGACGCCAACAGCAATCTCCGTCCCCGCGTCGCAGCTCGGGGACGCCACCACCACTGGGAAACTAACTGATGCGACCCATGGGGGCGACGCCACAAAATTATCTTCCGCAAGACCACCTTATGTTGTAATGGTTGAGAACAAAGTGAGTCTTTTTGTATACAGTGTTAGTACATGTTGCATTAATTGATACCAGTGCTGCAGTTTTCACAATGAGCATGTCTTTTAAAAATGGCCTTGGGGCGAAAGTAATGTTTGCTTGGAATCGAAGTGCTATGTTCCGTGGCGTAGGGGGGAAACGTTGAGCCTTGTTGGTGTTTCTTCTGTTTTACTTTCTGTGTGAAACCAAACGTTTAAAGTTGAACTAACGGTGCTTGCACGTGTGACCCACGACGTCATTCTAGGTATAGATTTCATGCGTGAATGTGGTGCGAATCTGGATTGTGGTATTTATTTATTATTTATTCAGAATACTCCAAAGGGCCCTCTCACAGGAGGGTATTACAAAGGGGGGGGGGCTATAACACATACAGGTACATGAAATGATTATTATGACCAAGAAACACACAAACTACACACTATACAGCTACTAAATAAATTAGAGTAAATATAAAGTCAATATTTTTACCGATAGTGGGGGGATTATTTTTCGTACCGTGTTGCCCCCGCCGTTGACGGAAGATACCGTTCATGACGGCTCGAACATGTTTACCGTATTCTCAAGACGTCTGCTTTGCCCCAAATACTGCAATGTTTGTGCGCGTAAACCCTTCACGTTCTTGTGCGGGTTCTTTCTGCGGTTTAGCCGAGGCGAACTTCAGTAACGCACTTAAGAGAAACATTATTTTGCCTCGTTGCCTCGTGCTCACCATCGATGGTTTTGCCGATTTGTAGACTGTAAACGTTTCCGCGCAGCCCATATCTCTGCTTGCAGGACTTATATTTGCAAGCTTTCAAGAGCAAACTACTCTTACCATACGGTCACTTGACCTGTCGGCTGATGTACAGAAACCCCACGCTAATTTGTGCCGTGACTATTCTGCCAGCAGTGACCATATGATCAACAAGTCACTTCCTTCAATTGAACGGTCTCTACTGCAGGAGGTGCCCGCAGGCTACGCTTGAGTCTTTCATTTCGCTCAAGACGAGACGTCTACCGTTACACCACCGTCTTCACGTACTCAACACCGCATCTATGCAGGCCAAGCACCACCAATACGCCAGAAGCCCTATCGCGTATCGCCTTCCGACAGGAAATTCATCGCTGAGCAAGTTGAAGACATGCTCAAGAAGGGCGTCACACAAGAATCGTGTAGTCCGTGGGCAGCTCCTGTCATCTAGTCAGAAAGAAGGATAACTCATGCAGATTCTGCGTAGACTATCGTCAACTAAATGCCATCACAAAAAAGACGTCTACCCTTTGCCACGTATAGATGACGTCGTGGACTGCTTGCATTCTGCCGCCTATTTTTCTTCTGTTGACTTACGTTCTGGGTATTGGCTGATTCCTATGTATCCCTCAGATAAGGAGAAGGCGGCCTTCGTAACACCAGACGGTCTTTTTGAGTTGAACATTATGCCCTTCTGTTTGTGCAATGCTCCAGTGTCATTCATAAGATTTATGAATACAGTATTCCGTGGACTAAAATGGAAAATTTCCATGTGCTATTTAGATGACGTGATTATCTAT